GTAACATTTTAACAACTAATATCTTTAAGATTTTACAATTTAAAACAGATTTTTAATCATTTTTATATTAATATTATTATTATTATGTTTTATATATTATAATATTTTTAATAATTTATTAATAATGATAAATCAATAACATTATATATATATATATATATATATATATATATATATATATATATATATATATATATATATATATATATATAAAAGCATTACATTCAGTTTAAGTATAATTTTTTAAAGTACATTATTTCTTTTTCTAGTATTACTTTTCCAATAAGCTTGCTAAAGTGTATTTCTTTTTCTACTCTCTCAGTATTGTTTGTCAAGTAGCCAGCATTTAATTACATATAATTAAAGAAAATTGAGGACGGAGTTACTGGAGGAAAGCAATGTTACCATCATACATGCAGGAATGTATCATATACAATCATACAATGCGCCATTTATTGCTTAAACACTACGAACACAATGATATATTCTGTGTTTATTTATTAAATTATCTATTGAATGTATGTCTTTGACGTGTAAATATGTTACATTTCACTTCCTGTTTTTATTTTTATCTGTTTAGACTGAACATTGGCATACAAAACATTTCAGTGTCATACACAAACGCGTTTTCAGTGTTTGATTAACAGCTTCATTACAGGGCTTTGCTTATGTGGTATGTCGACTATTTTCTTTTTTTCCTTTACAAAACCTGCTGCGGTATAAAATCATACGTTGGAATGAAATGTGATTGACAGGCGAGGAGGGCCAATCCGCATTCTCAAGGTCAACCGTGATTGGTTAGAATGACGCTTGGTAGGGTGGTTCTTCGAAGACAGCTAATGGCGTGCTGATACATACTAGCCTTGTGAGGGCGGGGGAAGGGCAGAGTCTATTTATATGGGGGAAGTGTCTACTCCCAGCCAGTTGAAGAAAGGAAAAGGTTCGCTGCTTTCTCAAATCCAAATCACTCGAGCTAAAATGAGGGAAATCGTGCATCTTCAAGCTGGACAATGCGGAAACCAGATTGGAGCCAAGGTTGGTGTTCATTTAGTACAAATCTGCAGTTGTTGGTTTATTGTGTATTTACATAATGGGAGGTTTATATCAATCAACAATCTACATTTTATTTGAGTTAATTGTAAAAATGAATGCTAAATTAAATTAATTTTGTTTTCAATGTGCTGTATTGTTCGCAGTACAATACGACCCGCCTAAAAATGAGATTCTGAAGTCGTTTGAATGAAATCTAGGTCATCCATGTACTTTCCCATTTGATGTTTATTTTATTCAATTGTAAAACGATTGATATATTTTGTAAAACGACGAAATTTAGCAGTCGTCCGATGGATGTGTAATTTTTGTGCCAGCTGGTCATGCTCACCGGCGTCTGTCTGGAACTTCCCTTTGTCAGATTCACTGCAGTGCGGCAAAAAGGAAGTAGACGTTTAAGCGCGTTTTAAATGCGCCCAAAAACCGGCTTTTGGACTACAATAGTAGTACACAATAAATCGTATGAAACCCAAAACCAAATCTGCTGATTTTGATATCTATGGAATTTTTAGAGATATTTTCGCATCAGCAAATCGATTAGGTTGAAACGCACCGGAAATGGATTTCAGCCAACCGGCGTTCATGGCGCGCGCGCGAATTTTAGGCGGGAGGAGTTTAAAGAAAACGAATTGTTTACGACGTCGACCAGATGTAACCGATATAAATCGTTAATAAAAGCATAATGTGGACACATTTTCTTCATAAAATGTAATGTACGATGCTTATACTTAGTGGTGATAAGAAGTGCGTTTGAGAACATTGTTGTTTTTGTAACATCAAGTATGTTATCATTTGAAAAGCAGTTAAATGACTATAATGTCAGTCCATATGATTTTTTTTGTCTGCTTACTTGATTTTACATTTAATGGTTGTCTGTTTTTTGACACTAATACATATATACTTTTTCATTAGTTCTGGGAGGTGATCAGTGACGAGCATGGTATTGATCCCACTGGAACATATCATGGAGACAGCGACCTTCAACTCGACAGAATCAATGTCTATTACAACGAGGCATCAGGTGCAACAGCTTGACATTTTATGATGTTTCACAAATGATATTATAATTTTCTTTTATTGTTTGCTAAGGCAAACCATTTTAACCCTGTATTTGTAATCTTTTAGGAGGTAAATATGTGCCCCGTGCTGTGTTGGTGGATCTGGAGCCTGGTACTATGGACTCTGTGAGGTCCGGACCCTTCGGTCAGGTTTTCAGACCAGATAACTTTGTTTTTGGTGGGTTTTCATTTTAAATAACTAATTGATTTATTTATTGTACAAATTTGAAAATTAAGAATTTTCATTCATTTGGACCAGGTCAGAGTGGTGCTGGAAACAACTGGGCTAAAGGCCACTACACAGAGGGAGCAGAGCTGGTGGACTCTGTCCTGGATGTGGTTCGCAAAGAGGCAGAGAGCTGCGATTGCCTGCAGGGCTTCCAGCTCACCCACTCCCTGGGTGGAGGAACGGGCTCTGGTATGGGCACCCTCCTCATTAGCAAGATCCGTGAGGAGTATCCCGACCGCATCATGAACACCTTCAGCGTGGTGCCCTCACCCAAAGTGTCTGACACTGTGGTGGAGCCCTACAACGCCACATTGTCGGTTCACCAGCTGGTTGAAAACACAGACGAGACCTACTGCATTGACAACGAGGCTCTTTATGACATCTGCTTCCGCACACTCAAACTCACCACACCGTCATACGGTGATCTCAACCATCTCGTATCTGCCACCATGAGTGGTGTGACCACCTGCCTCAGGTTCCCCGGCCAGCTCAATGCCGATCTCCGCAAACTGGCCGTCAACATGGTGCCCTTCCCCCGTCTCCACTTCTTCATGCCCGGCTTCGCTCCTCTGACCAGCAGGGGGAGCCAGCAGTACCGCTCTCTAACCGTACCCGAGCTCACACAGCAGATGTTTGATGCTAAAAACATGATGGCTGCGTGCGACCCGCGTCACGGCCGCTACCTCACAGTCGCCGCCATCTTCCGTGGCCGCATGTCTATGAAGGAGGTCGACGAGCAGATGCTCAATGTTCAAAACAAGAACAGCAGCTACTTTGTGGAATGGATCCCAAATAACGTCAAGACCGCCGTTTGCGACATCCCGCCTCGTGGTCTGAAAATGGCCGCCACCTTCATCGGAAACAGCACTGCCATCCAGGAGCTCTTCAAGCGCATCTCCGAGCAGTTCACGGCTATGTTCAGGCGCAAGGCTTTCCTGCATTGGTACACAGGCGAAGGTATGGATGAGATGGAGTTCACCGAGGCAGAGAGCAACATGAACGACCTGGTGTCTGAGTACCAGCAGTACCAGGACGCCACCGCCGAGGAGGAGGGCGAGTTTGAGGAGGAGGGAGAGGAAGAGCTGGCTTAAATCGCATTAATATACGTGTCGTTTTCCAGGCTGTATCATTTTGCTCATGTAAAAGGAAAATAAACCTTCCAAAGTCCTGTTTTTTTGTTCTATTCCTCCTCATGTTTGTACAGATGTCAATAAAAGGCTTTTTCTTCTGTTAAAACGTCTTTCTCTTTCATTGCTTTAAGAATTTGATCATGTGAATTAACCCATCCTCATTCTTCACTGGTCACATACACTGACAGATCCTTGTTAAACCTGTTGGGATTGCCTCTAGACATCAAACTGATCTTGTGCCAGAAGTATATTTGCATTACCAGTCATAAGATTCAACAGTCCCATTATAGAACTTTCCAATGCATTAGAATGGTAGAACACGATGTGTGCAAGTAAACGATGTGCGAAACTTCAATTTTGTGAATACATTTTGAAGTTGGAAGGGAATAAATGGATTACTGGTAGTTAAGTCAATATTGTACTTTTATTGGTACTTAAACATTAATATCATTTAAAAATTAAACATGGTTATAAATGCTAATAAAACTGTTAATCAACTAGTGATGCATTGCATTTCATACATTATGTATCATAGTTAAACATTTAATAATTAAGCATCATTAAAACACAACATTAAGAGAAATTTGTAACCAATTTCCTTGACCATTTCTCAAAGTATCTTATATTCCAAAGGGGGACAGAACGTTCACTTTTACAGTAAACTTGATTAAATAAACAGATCTATAACATAACGAGAGACCGGTATGTATATATATATATAAATATATATACATATGAGCAATTCCAGCGTTCAGGATGTGACATTTACAATAAAAACTTGAAACGTAAATTCACATAGAAAGCATATGTTAATATTATATTAACACTTGTTTATATTTTCCAGAACAACTGACTACAGAGTTCAGGAACCAAAAAAATATCAATTTGTAAACATGTTTTGTACTTTTAACGTAGAAAATACAATGCGGGTTTACAGAATACAACATACTTTGTAGAAATTCTGTGAATTAAACTGCACAACCCAAAAGAAACAATGATAATCAAAAGGGTATGAGTTGGCTCTCTATAAAACAAAAATTACTAGTTTTATTTTGTATTTTCACATTTATTAGAAAAAAGTGTCGTTTTGGATGTGAAATTGATACTTGTGTGACTAGTAAATCAAATAAAATAGTTTGAAAACACTGACAGATTCATTTTTGAGTATTTCAAAAGTACTGTAAAATACTTGCTTATAAAAGAAAACCTGAAAACGGTTTCCGTATTTTGTTAAAAACCAAATTTTTTTCATAGGAAAGTTGACATTTGCACAGAATTGCTCATATATATATATATATATATATATATATATATATATATATATATATATATATATATATATATATATATATATATATATATATATCATATATAACCTAACTATAGTAAAAACCAGATAATGTAGTAATTTATTGTGTTAAATATACTATTTAAAGTCATTATAGTAAATAATTACTACATCAATAAATGAATAAGGACATATTCGGGGAATTTTAGACTTAATACATTTTAAACCAAGTTGTAAGGCAATCAGAAACTCGACATATCACTGTTTACTAAAAAGATCAAATGTTGTAAATCATTTTACCACATTATAAAGCACACTGAACACACTTTTCACATTAGCAGCTCTTTGAAGATATCAGTTCACAACAGTTCTGTCAATAGTCTGGCATATACATCAACAAAGTATAACTGCTATGCCAAACTAAATACTAACATGAGACTGGTTTACTTGTAAAGTATCCTACAGTTAATAAATTCACTGCAGAATATACTAAACTAACATTTTACACTATACTGTGGTATTATTTCCTGTAGTATTAAACTATGCACAGATATTGATAGCATTGCAATTAGCCTATTAACAATGGAAGGTTTACAATTCATAGCATTTATCAATCAGCAGTAATTCTTAATTTTTAATCAATCTTACCACATTTATGTTGATAGTCGTGAGTGTCCTTACTATATATTGTCAGCAGGTGGCGCTGTTGACTAGGTTTTTCTTCTTGTCCATATGAAATAGGATAAGATGCCAACACACAGCAGGAGCAGAGACCAGCAACACACCTTTACCACATGGTCTTCAAGATTCTGCTTTTCTCCAAAGCGAGAGATAAAACCTGACTGAGAAAAACACACAAAGTCAGAAATAAAACGACCCAGTTTTCACTCAGGAAACTGTTTTTAAAAATCTGTAGAGTATTTGTATTAGTCCTCCATATGAGGGCGCTATCGGTTAATCGATTGAGAATTGAACGAAAATAATCAAATGTTCGCTTTTGTAAGATATTTTTCCTTACCCGCCAATTGTAAGAACCATACATGTTTTAAACTCTTACTAACTGGTTAAAACGTCGAATTAAAACGATATGATAACAAATAGTTTGAAAAATCTAACAGCACTTGACTTACTGGCTTTGTACAGCTGAAATCAATCAACTGGAGCAGATGATGACACCGGAAGCTGCGCACAATAAATTTCAAAATGGCGCGCTCATTCTTACGGTTGTTGCTATCAGATACGTTTGCGGCTGACAATTGTTTACTATATATTTTTTAATTAAATTACCCATTGATTGTATTTTATTACCATCTACCACAACCCCAAACGTCACGCTAATGTAAAAACAGTAGTTGTACCGAGTATTAATGTTATTTATTAAATTACCCATTAAATTGTATTTTTTTACATCTAGCCCTACTCCAACCCCAAACTCAACCGTCATAGTAATGTAAAAATGTTAATTATTGTCAGTGTCACAAAAATAATGCTTTACTTATTTGCGTATCCACAGCTGTGTCCTATCTAGACTACCCATTCCTTACGCTAAAAACAAAGTGGATTAAAGATGTTGTTGTGTACTCCTAAATTATATTTAATTAAGAGATATGAATGTGTCTGCAGAACATGATAAAATGTCTCATGCCACGAAGAGTAAACATAACCATTCTGATTATCAGTTATGACAATTTCAATAAACAAAACAACAATAGAAAATTGTAATGGTTTTATTGCTTAAAATGGAAATTGTGTTGATTTTAGTGGAAACTGTAATGGCCTTGATTGTAATTTTCATAAACCGCCATGGTGACACCAATAAATCCTAATGGAATATATCCCAAAACACAGAAGAAGTTGTTAAATTGTAGTGAATTTGATGGTTAAATTTAGATTTTTGTAATGGTATTTATTTATAATAAAAACAAATTACAATCTTCTGTGATGGTTTATAATGGGGTTTTTTCAGCATTGCACATCTTAGAGGAATGACTTGAACAATACAGCTGTTCTGCACAGTTTTAATCTATGTCAATTTAAGTGGGCCAACTAATAAATATGTATAACAGATAATAATCAATTAAATAGATATAGTTGTAACTTATAGAAAAAATAAGTTTGGATCATTTGTTATAATTTGTATGTATTGTTTATTATGTTATATAAATGACTTTAAACAAATGAAAACTCTAAAATTAAAGTTACCTTTTCCATTCAGCAATATTAAGCAACGTTAATTTATTACGCCACATTATTTCACATTTTCTTCATAATTCTGGGGGAAAATCCACTTGTTATAGTCTAATTATTCTTTGTGTGTGTGTGTGCATTTCTAATTCTGCATTAAACTGAAATTATTCCACCATATCATGCAAGTCCAGATTCACTGACACCTCCAGTATTTTTGCAACAGCTGCCTCAGCTAAGCAAACATCTGCTGACAGCGATGAATCATCATAATGACTCAGAATGGAACCAAATGCTTAAATCACCATGAAACTGACAATTACCATACTTTTATGCAGTATTGCATCAATTATTATAAACGTTCTATTCATGCAAATCAGTATTTGTGTGCCAAATTCATATGTTCTCATAATCTTGAATCCAAATAACTTCATCAGCATCTCTTGTAACATTAATATGCAAGTCAAAACTCTAATCATATATTTGGTCACTATAAAGAACCCAAAACCCTTCAGTGGTTCAGCTGTAAACATACAAAGCTCCAAAAACACTTTTGTGCATCAAAAAATCTGTAAATATGAGTTTGTTTGCCTGTCAGGGAGTCAGACACAACAGAGGAGTATTTTGAGAACCGTGCGGGTGTTCTTCTCCGCCATTAGCTTACGCTGGTTACGCTGCAATGCATTCCGGGATACCTGTGCTTTGTAAGTTCGCACAAGTCACCTCTCGAAGCTTACTTGGCAAAAGGGGCGGAGCAAGTACACATCCGGGAATTTATTTGTACTTGGCAAGATGTGAACATCACGGTTGAGGTTGGGGAAAAAGGAGTGAGGACTCAAATGCAAAAAAATGGCCATTTATTAATAGTAAAAGTAAAATAAACAGCAAAATAAACTACCCCAAGGGGGAAAACAATAATGAAATAAGTAAATAAACAAACAAACAAACAAGACTGGGCAGGCTGGCAGGGATCAGGACGGGAACACTCAGGACAACGCAACATATGATGACGAACTGGCACAAGACAGCAGACATGAGGAGAATATAAGCAGAAGTAAATGAACACACAAACAGATGAACATAATTAACTAATAATGGGTTAACAAGGAGGGTGGGACAAGACAATAGACGGTAGAGCACGTGACAGAGACAGCACAAGCCATGTGCTTACATAAAGGCAAGGCAAGGCAAGTTTATTTATATAGCACATTTCATACAAAGTGGCAAATAAAAGTGCTTTACATAAACAAGAATAAAAGAAACAAGTAAAATAAAAATAAAAACAAATAATAAAAATGCGTAAAAACAAAACAAAACATAAAAACAGGTAAAATGTGATATAAAAGAATGAAGAAGAAGAGAAAAACATGATAGTGCAATCTGTCGGACGCAGCACAGTGCTCATACAGTAAAGGCGCAGCTAAACAGACGTGTTTTCAGTCTTGATTTGAATGTGCCTAATGTTGGAGCACATCTGATTATTTGTGGAAGCTGATTCCAGCAGCGAGGGGCATAGTGGCTAAAAGCCGATTCACCCTGCTTTGACTGAACTCTTGGAACTTCTAGTTTATATGATCCTAAAGATCTGAGTGATCTGTTAGTTCTGTATTCAGTGAGCATATCTGTAATGTATTTAGGTCCTAGGCCATTTAGTGATTTATAGACCAGTAATAATACTTTAAAATCTATTCTGAATGTAACTGGCAGCCAGTGTAGAGACCTGAGGACAGGTGTGATGTGCTCTGATTTCCTGGTTCTGGTTAGAATTCTGGCTGCAGCGTTCTGGATGAGCTGCAACTGTCTGACTGTCTTTTTAGGAAGACCAGTGAGGAGTCCATTACAGTAATCCACCCTGCTGCTGATAAAAGCATGAACAAGTTTCTCTAAATCTTCACTAGAAACAAAGCATCTGATTCTTGCTATGTTTTTGAGATGATAGTATGCTGATTTACTGACTGCTTTGACATGACTATTGAAACTCAGATCTGACTCCAGAGTCACACCAAGATTCTTGACCTTATTTTTTGTCGTTTGACCTTTAGTGCCAAGGTACGCATTTACCTTGAGAACCTCATCTTTGTTTCCAAACACAATCATTTCAGTTTTCTCTTTGTTTAACTGAAGAAAGTTTTGGCACATCCAATTGCTCATTTCATCAATGCATTGGCAGAGGGTGTCAATGGGGCTGTAGTCATTAGGCAGTAAGGCTAGGTAGATCTGAGTGTCATCAGCATAGCTGTGGTAGGAGATTTGGTTTCCCTCTTGTTAGTAAAGCTATATTCCAGAAAGTTTGTAGAATCGATGCTGATCTTCAAGCCATGTTGTTTGAGCACTGTGCTGATAGGCTCAAGTTAAAATTAGGGTATAAGACATAAAAGCAAGAGTGCGAAGAGCGGAGCAGTGGGCAAAGACGTCCGAATAGTAGCAAAGCAGGAAGTAGAAACAGGACAAGAAGACGCAGCCAATGAAAGAACTCATTAACCACATGTTCAAATGACAACACAAGCACCACGTGCTAAACACAACACCATCAGAAGACTGAACGCAAGACACGAGCACACGATGGATGAAAACACTCACTGTGCACTCACACACGCAACTGCATGTTCCATCCCAGCGACGACCGAAACCAACTGGACTGAGACGCTGGGAATGAAACACCACGCTGCAGACAAACGTGAACACCTGGACGGGAGATTGCAAATACGCAAAGACCTCACACGCTCGCATCACGCGGGGACACGCACGATCCAACCGCGTTCACAAAGGGCGCTCATACAGAGACGCACACACAATGGCTGTTTCTCAATATGCGTTCTTCAGCGGTCTTGCGTCCTCGTGTTCTCGTGAAACGTCATCATCAGCTGCCTAAGTTCAGTTCCAATACTCAAGACCGCAAGTACGGAGGACGCGTGAAACTTCCCGGATGTGATCTTGATATCGAGGACGCACCGATGCAGACTTGAGCACCGAACTCGCTCTGGAAGTCCCAGAAGTCATTGCGAGGTGGGAAGCGCAGCATTTTATCTAGATTTATTATTAAAGTTCCGAGATATAACTTATTTACCTCAGGAGTTTCCCTAAATGAGATGGTGAAAGTAAACATTAACATGGACATCTTAATGTAGGAATAAACACAATAAGGGTGTGAAATTCATATTAAAATCTGTTTTATTTATATAGTGCAGAGTGTATTTATAATGTTTTTATGCGAAGTATATATTTTGAAAAAGGGAAAAACAATATATCATTGTATGAATGCTGTAATGTTTAAATAATTTACCATTAAAAACGCGTGAAGGTCATGTGACCATCAGGAAGAATGCAGCATCTCATTTCTCAAAGGACGCGTTCTCTGCCCTCGTGGTCCCCCGAGTTCGTTCTTCTGACGACACCTGGCAAGACCGCTCTCCACAAGAACGCAAGTCCGTTCTTTGCGTTCTTGGAATTGAGAAACAGCCCATGACAAAACAAGTGCTCGACCCAAGAAAACCCGAGCCGAGCACAACAGGACAGGACAAGACAGGGCTAGTGTCCGGACTCTGCGACCAAAACAAGAATTTACACAGTAACAGTAGTTCAGCGATGGCTGATGACGTTTTTACGAGGACACAAGAACGCAAGTACAGGCAAGAACGCATATTGAGAAACAGCCCTGATCTGAGAATTTAACTGAGAACAAACAGGAAGTGCATTTAAAGATTTAAATTTTAGATTACAAGGGCAAACTATTATTTTGTCTCAATGACCAGCACACATGAATCGTTCAGCACAAAACTAGCAATGTGAGCGAACAAAATCAATATGGTTAGTTTGGATTTCATACGTATTTAAAAACGAACAGACTGAAACTAACATCTAAAAAACTGTATTTCAGCTGATCTTCAGTGCCACTCACCCATCCTCCTTTGTCCCGGATCTCGGGGCAGATGACCCTCTCCACGTAGCTGCCCACACACTCCTGTATCTGCGGCGTGATGTCCTCCATGCCCCTGTCCTGGCAGTGCAGAGCCAGCTGACCAGCCAGAACGAACACCGACAGCACGGCGCTCCAGGCCAGATCCCTGCGCCTCGTGGGAGCGAAGTGTTCGTCCAGGATGGAGAGCAGCGTGGGGCAGGCCGTGTGCTCCGTCACGTCCTGGAAAACTCTCGGCCAGCGGCGAAAGAAGATCGGGAAGCGGATCAGCAGCTCGTCTCCAGCGTGGCGCAGGGCAGCGGAAGCACGGGAAGGTGCCGGACACAACGGGACGCCTAGTTTGGACACAAGGATATTTTAGCAAACGAAAACTAAAGGCAACATTGAGCACGATAACAATGAAGATAAAAAAATCGTTCACAGTCTACATGGAAACCAAATCCGCTGATTTTAATACAATTTTAATAAGACAATACTCTGATTGAGAGTCTACGATGTAAACAGAGATTTTTGATGACCTTAATACGACAGAAGTCATAATAGAACTAAACAGAAATGGAGAAAAGAACGATGTAGTGACCAGTGTTTCCCAAAACCCGTAGTTTCTCTATCGCAGATCCATGGCTTGAACCACGTTAGTTATGCTGTAAAGCGCCCATAATGATGCTCTAAACGGGGTGGAGGAACTACTTCTTTAGAGAAAAACCCATAACTTCTTTGTGCAAATTATATTGCTTTACACGCACACGCATTTAAAATAAATTTAAAAACATGCACTCGCTTTCCATATTAACTGAAATATATGTAAATGCCACATATGGTTTGCTTTACTAATATTATTGAGAAGTTGAACATTACATATTCTATTCTAAATCGCTTACAAAAGCTAACACATATTCTAATATCATATATAAATACATAAATAATGAGGCTATTTATTATGAAATAAAATATAATATTATTATTTATTAGTAATGAAAAAAAACACACTTTAATAGTAATATTAATGATTATTGTGATGATGAGGATGATAATAATAATAATAATAATAATTATTATTATTATTATTATCAATAATTTTAATTATTATTATTATTATGTAGGTAATTGTTTATTTATTTATTTATTTTTTTTAAGTCTACTTTTACAATTTAACACATTTAAACCACTGCAGAAATGTTCTACCCAGCAGGCCCATGTCATATACAGTACAGATACTTAATAAATAACCCATTATAAGTTATAAGAATTAACGTCAGCTTTTTGTTTTCACAAACTTTGGCGACGTCACATAAATTAGTAAACACCACTTTTAAATAATACGTCACCTATAGCTTTCATTATGAGGCTGTGTTCAAAATGTTTTCAAAGTGCACTGTGAAGGGAGCACGATTGTAAATATGAAGATCGTTAAAACTGAACTGTAAAAATAGTTTGGAAGCAAATTACAAAGAGAGATGACCTTAATGCTTTTTCATTTTTAATAACTCCAACTTTGAATGTTAGGATGTTCTTAATGAATAGGGCACAGGGGGGGATAAGTGGCAATAGAACACAGCCAGAAACTATGTTTCTAACTACAGCTCCAGAGGTGTAGTTGCCAGTGCTCAAGTTTGCGACGCAGTTTGTGAATGTACGTTGTAGCTACTGATTTAGGAAACGGCAAATTAACAAACTATGTTTGTAACGCTGAAACTTGCGACCTTAGTTGGCTAACCATGATTTTGGGCAACGCACCCCTGTATAGTTAAACATTATTTCCAGTTGTGAATTGCTTTATGGGATGTTGTTCTCTACTCTGTCCACTTTTGATGAAAATTCAAGTCTATACTGTAAAAAATATCCCTAAATGATCAGTTTTCCGTATTTTTATGATTCATGTTTTTATTTTTGCCACTTTATTTCTACTTATGAATTACATTATAGCATCTTGATCTTTCTTCCAACAACTTTTAACCATGAAAAGTTGGAAAAAGTGACTTTTATTGACGTGTAATAGTGTGCAGTGCTATATTGTTTGGGTTGGTGTTGTACATTACACTACAAACACCTTGTAATAAACTGCAGCACATTTTCTCTTATTTTCTACACTCATTTCTCTAGATATTATTTTTTATACATTATATTATCTCCAACTACTAAAATGTTAGTAAAAGTCACTTTGTTAAACGACAGAGTTGAATTTTCTACATCAACAGAGAACAGAGCAGAGATCAACATCCCATAATGCAACTCACAACCACAAATAAACCCAAAAACACTATTAATTAGCAGATATTTTTTTACAGCGTAACGCAAATTTTAAAATAATACAACAAAACTATAACCTGGTTTGGCTGTCACGTAGCTGATGTAGTCGTACGCCATCAGAAAAGCTTCACGCACTAGTGGATCTGGACTGTTCAGGCCTCGACCAATCACAGCGTCGTCTGACCGTCCCATCAGCTCAGATACACACAGGTCAAACTTTAAATGTCCGAATGTTGTGTTTAGGTCTCCATCCATGCCATTGTCATCTATATAAGCTGCGTGTTCTGATTATCCAGATCTATGAAAAGAAAACTCAAGATCAGTTTTCAGAGTTTCATTCATTCATTTTCCTTCAACTTAGTCCCTTATTTATCAGTGGTCACCACAGCGGAATGAACCACCAACTCTTCCAGCATATGTTTTACGCAGCGGATGCTCTTCCAGCCATCCCAGTACTTGGAAAATAATAATAATAATAATAATAATAATAATAATAATAAAAATAAAATAAATAAAATAAAATACTCAAATTTTAATTCACATCTTCTATGTTTAGTATTTAAATATTTGTTTTCAAAATATATATTTATTAATTCTTAAAAAAATAATAGAAATAATGTTGGATATTATTTTTTTTTTGCATTTATTTATTTATTTACAAAATGTTTGTTATTTGAAAAAACAGCCCAAAAAAAAACGAATTTTAAATAATTAAAGAAATTAACTACACAATGGCAAACATTTAAGCCCCCCCCAAAAAATAAATAAAAAAATACAGTCCCTCCAGGATTTTGGAGATATTTTGTTAATATATTTCCAAACTAAAATGATTTTGTTACAGCTTTTCTCAAAACTTATGTTAATGGTTGCTTAAATTCTTGTGTTGTGCAATGAAAATTACTAAAACATTTGTTTTTTTTTTGTATCTCAAGAACCTTTGGCATCTTGGAGGGTCTGAAAAATAATAAATAAATTCTTAAAAACAGAAAATATGTAAAGAACACGTTCAAACCCTGCATTTTCAATATTATAGTTATTATGGTTGTAAATTGAAAATTATCATGAAATATGAAATAATCTGACCTGAAAATCACTTCCCCCCAAACAATTAATCAAAAATCATTTATTTACATCACTACAACAATACATTTAAAATTGTTTAGAAAATAAAATGTCATGCATTGTACATGAAAAATCTTAATAAAAAATATATTATATTACATTATATTACATTATATTATATTATATTATATTATATTATATTATATTATATTATATTATATTATATTATTATAATAATAAGGAACTTTTCTTAAAAAAAGAAATTACATTTTCAAAACCAACATGAATACTATAAACATGGCATATATAAATTAAAGTAGATTTTTCCTTGTTTTTCTAGTTGAAATTCTTGTTGTCACCTTTCTAGAAGCAGCTGCAACATTCAAAGAAATAAAACAAGTTAACATGACAAGATTATCATCATAATGTAAATGTCCAGATTGTAGAACATGATCATCAACCAAAGCAAATCTGAAGTTCACACACGCCAAAATGAAAGGCCCGTTGACTTACCCTTTTCTCACAGACGTGAATCATGCCATGACCAAACAACTGGGATCATTTAACAGCTGACAGAAGTGCAACATACAACTGGAGATTCTCAAGAGGGAACCGATCACATGTGCATGCTGTCGTTGATTATATTTCCTTCTGTTGTCTGTAACAGATCCAGTGCATGAACAGTTATCCAATGACACTAAGACTCTTCATGGGTACAGCTATAAATACTCCACACGCAGTAACACTCGGACAAGAGGCGCTCATAACCTTTCTGTGCCTATACAGTGTGTGTTTGTTTATAACGTATGCTTTCAGAGTAATTTCAGGCTATTCTGCATTGTAATAGAGTAGTATATTTTGGAGGGGTGAAAAAAAGATTTTATGGCTTTTAATTTGGAAGTTCTTTCTCAAAAAGTGCTTTCATTACAAACAGGCAGAGTTTTAAATGGAACATAAAACATCAACAATGGAGGATTTTTTTAAATATATATGGAGCTTGTGGTATAAAAAAGTCCAAGAAAAATAAACAAAAAAGTTCCAGAAAATTAGGATAAAGGATTAAGCGCAGATTTGCGAGAGCGGTGATCTGAGTGAACATGCAATACCTCTCCCTGACATTAGATGGCGCTTAATGAAAAACAGAAATACTCCAGCCGCACGTTAGATTAGCATTTTCATTTCTGTTTTAGCTCCTCCACTACAAAACACAAACACCTACTCAAATGCTTGCGGAAAAATTATTTAAATAAAAAAAAAATCTTTAAATCGATATATACATATCTGTCAGATACACACCCACCGTTATTTTACTTTAGTGAAATGTTTAAATATCGAGGAAAATATCAGTATATAGGTCAGATACACACCCACCGATATCTGACTTTGGTAAAATGATTATTTTTTGGGGGAAAATATCTGTAAATCAATATATCTGTTAGATACACACCCACCGATATCTGATTTTGTTAAAATGCTTAAATAACTGGGGAAATATCAGTAAATTGCTATTTTGGTCAGATACACACCTACTGATACCTGATTTTGGTAAAATGATTAAATATTGGCGGAAATATCTGTAAATCGATATATCGGTCAAATACACACCCACTGATATCCGACTATGGTAAAATGCTTAAATATCGGAGGAAATATCTGTAAATCGATATATCGGTTAGAGACACAACCACTGATACCTGATTTTGGTAAAATGCTTAAATATCAGGAAAATATCTGTAAATTGATATATCTGTCAGATACACACCAACCTATATCTGATTTTAGTAGAATGCTTAAATATTAGGAAAAATATGTGTAAATCAATATATCGGTCAGATACACACCCACCGATATCTGATTTTTGGAAAATGCTTAAATATCCTGGGAAAAAGTCTGTAAATATATAAATATTGGTCAGATACACACCCAACGATATCTGATTTTGGGAAAATGCTTAAATATCAGGGAAAATATCTGTAAATTGATATATCTGTCAGATACACACCAACCGATATCTGATTTTGGGGAAATGCTTAAATATCGAGGGAAATATCTGTAAATTGATATATCTGTCAGATACACACCCACCGATATCTGATTTTGGTAAATTGCTTAAACATCCTGGAAAATATCTGTAAATATACAAATATTGGTATGATACACACCCAGCGATATCTGATTTTGCTAAAATGCTTAAATAACTGGGGAAATATCACTAAATTTATATTTTGGTCAGATACACACCTACTGATATCTGATTTTGGTGAAATGATTAAAAATTGGTGGAAAAAGCTGTAAATCGATATATCTGTCAGATACACACCCACCGATACTTGATTTTGGTGAAATGCTTAAATATTACGAAAAATATCTGTAAATTGATATATCTGTCAGATACACACCCACCGATATCTGATTTTAGTAGAATGCTTAAATATCGGGAAAAATATTTGTAAATCAATATATCGGTCAGATACACACCCACCGATATCTGACTGCGGTAAAATGCTTAAATATCGGGGGAAATATCTGTAAATCGGTGTATAGGTCAGATATACACACTCACCAATATCTGATTTTGGTAAAATGCTTAAATATCAAGGAAAATATCTGTAAATATATAAATATCTGTACGATACACACAAACACAGTGACATCTGATTTTGGGAAAATGCTTAAATATCAAGGAAAATATCTGTAAATCAATATATATCTGTCAGATACACACCAACCGATATCTGAGTTTTGACATGCTTAAATATCAAGGAAAATATCAGGCTTTGTTCATGTACCCTGCTTAAATTACAGTAAAACATGAGTTGGTGGCACTGATGCCAAGGACGAAATGGTCTAGCCGAGTACACAGGAATTGCAAATCAAATCTAATTCGATAGAGATTTTCCTTTCACTTAATTTAATTTCATGGCTTGTGAGTTTAACATGCAAACTTTGTTTGGTGGAGGAGGCTAAAAAGGAATGGAAACGCTTACGTGGTAGTAATTCATGAATTCTTGATGGTGCCAGTGAATTGACTAATGACAAATGACCTCCACAGTCACCAGCAGATGAGAAATCTGCAAGAACACCTGTAGATGGTATCATGTCAATATGGACCAAAGACTATGAGAAATGTTTCCAGCACCTGCTGAATGCCATGAAGAAGCAATGTTGACAAGATCAAGATAAACCAGTGGGTGTTAGTCACACAAATAAATTCATTATATACCAAAATTACTGTATGAAAGTAGCATTAAAAACATTTCAAGCTTGAGATGCTTCACATATCCACTAAAAATCACACTGACAGACATGTGCATGGTGTGTGATTGGCTGATTTTTTAAAACCCATACTAAACTCGACACTAGGGGGCGTTGTCATACTTATAAATCAACTGTACATACAATGACCAGCAAAACCAGTCCAAACTCTTCTCTCTCTCTCTCTCTCTCTCTCTCTCTCAGTAATAACAACATCTATGGGCTGCTGCCATGTGTGCAAATGATTCGCTGACTGCATTTTAAACTGTGATAATTAATGAATAATTAATATTCAGAATATGTACATCACCCACTGAGCTTTTCGAGCATTTACCAGCGTCAGTTTGCGAATGATTTTAAGACTAAACCTAATGCTTCCAATAGTATTATACCACTGTATAATTCATTACGAAATACTGTGGTGATATATGTTATTTTTATTCAATACTGTGAATAAAGCAACTTTATATGAGATTTACGTAATATCTACTTGTGTATTCAAGGTCTGGTTTTGGTTTTCAAATTAAAATTCAATGCATTGCACACTGTTTTGAAGAGTCCTTACTGGTCGGTGTTAATTAAAACGAGTATCCCCCCGTGTTTGAATGACTGACCTTGATTTGCATGCAGTTTTGGTTTATTTGCATGTAGTTTTTAAATGGACTTTGACGGGAGCGCGGGAAATCGCGCGCGCGCGGGAAGAAGAAGTGATAAAGCGCGGGAGATTGAGAGCCGTCGTCAGATTCTTCAGCGGTACACTTGAAAACAGTGTGAATAATCAATGATTGTTTTCCCATTTCGGAGCCCGTGTGGTTTATGTGTGATTTTAAAAGGCTTTTAATTTCCGCTCAGATGTGTTGGTGTGTGTGTGTTTTTTTTTTTTGTGCGCGGCCGCGGGCTCGTGTGTCATGGAGGATTTTTTAATAGGAGCTCATTTCCTGGAGCAGCTCAGATACAGATCAAAGCCTCAAAGCTCTCAGTGCTAAGTGTGGGACAGTCTGGGAGGTGCAACCTTGCTCCCCAAAGCTATTGTCTCATCAACTTTCACTCATATTGGTCCCATATCCCTCATTGTTTTACCTCATCTCTGCTCCAAACAGGATAATTCAGTTTGGAGACTCCATGACACAACCATAATGGCATGCCCGTACTTTATTAGATCAACTCTGGCTCCGGCCACATGACTTTTCCCCTTTTACAGATGTCTTTAAACACTTTAACGCTTTATATTCCGATTTTGATGTTTAAATACAAATGATTGTTACATTAATACACGATCAATCTAATTACTAGAGTAGAGTTGTTTCTTTTTTCGACACATGTTTTGCTAGCATTTTACAAACTTTTAGATTTTTTGGAAAACCATACTCATCAAATGTCCCTGTTTCCACCTGGATTTGTTGTGTTCAAATGCTTCTCGTGCTTACCGATGTAAATAAAAGAGAAGGTCTGTTTATTGTCGACTGTTAGACTTATTTATGTCACTGCTTGTGATCACTTGTGTCCAGATTTTGTTTCTATTGGAAATCTGTGCACATGCATTTTAAACACTATGCAGTATGTAAGTGCAGCATGCAGTATGTAATATTTGTGCTGGATTGAGCTTTCTTTTAGCATATTTACAACCAATGTCTGTGTTTAAAGAATTGCAACAGTAAGGAATCGATCCTCTTCCATTGATTGATTGATTCCTAACTACACTGTAAAAAAAAAAAAAAAAAAAAAAAAAAAAAAAATATATATATATATATATATATATATATATACACACACACACACACACACACACACACACACACATATATATATATATATATATATAGTAAAAAGTCATGTTTTATGTTACTTTAACTTATTATAAAAAGTTAATCAGGTTTCAACTTTAACTTTTTGTTAAGTTAAACAAATTTTATCTTGATTATTAAGTCAGATTAATTGATGCAAGTTTAAATGAGTTAATTTGGTTAATTTGCTTAAAAATGTAATGTTCTGCTTCCACCAGCCGCTGCGTGAATAAATCACGATATTCACGAGTAAATAGACGCATGAACATTTTAAGATTATTTGCTTCATTCACACGTCTAATTCACCTCCCAATAGATGCGGGTTCGAGTCAAGGACGGGGCTTCAGTCTGCCAGGTGACTCTAGTTTCGTTTAAATATAGCTAGCATTGATTTTATTGAGAGAGTAGCTGTGTTTATGTGCTTTAGGAAGGCTGAAAAGCCGCGTATATTCGTTTGGCGCCGTGTCTGAGTCCACTAGATCCTTTCAGAGGTGCACCAGGTCTGTGAGTTCATCAACTTCTCCAGAAACTACACCTGGATGATGGAAGCTCTCAGGGGAGCTTCAGACTGAGCCCAGCCCAGTTTGATGAGCTGTTGTCCGGTGTCAGCAGGAGGATTTCCTCTTGGGACACCACAGGCTATACGTCAAAATCACAGCCCTGCAAGAGAAAGCTCCTGATTGTTTAACGTGGCGCGAATGTCCACTGAAGTTCAGATTTGTCCAACTTGAGCAATTCAACTCGTGCCTCGTCATTCGCATCGCAGGGAAAATCAAAAAGCTGAAGAATCACATGTACATCAGTATTCACAGACTTTGGCGTGACTAGTCAGGATAGAGGGAAAGATGAATGCAGCAATGTACAGAGACAACCTGATTGAAGACCTGCTTCAGAGTGCTCTTGACCTC